ATGTTGATTAGTTTTCTTATTTCATTTCACCAAAATTGTTGTTGCTCTCATCTAATTGATTCCCAAGTTTAAGGTTTTGACTTAGAGTGAACCTCTTAAAATTTCTTTTAATTAGGTTTACATTTAGGGTGCGTTGGTTCACGGAATGTAAGATTACCAGTGGGAATAAAAGATTACCAGGGAATAGGATTACTGAGAATGTTGTATTTTGTGCTTGATTGGTTTAGCAGGAATGTAAGATTATCGTGTTTGGTTAAAGGAATAAAATATTATTGGAATGTATATTTGATCAAATTGTCCTTATTATATATTTGTATAATATTACAAATTGTAAAATATTTATATATTTTCTTTAAAAAATTAAATTCATAATATTTATATATATTTTTTTACAAAATTAAAAATATAAAAAAGGTTTAATGAAAGGGTAAAAAAATTTAACCCCTGAACTTCATATAAAATTTTAATTATAGATTTTTTTTTGTAAATCTAAAATAATCTAAGGATAAATTTGTAATTTAACATTCGTATAATTTTTATTATTCAATGACAGAAGAAGGATATTTTTGAAAAAAAAATAAAAATTTAAGGGCATTTTAGTCCAAAACGCCGGTAATGTTACAATACCTAAGGGAAGAGAGGTAATGACATTCTCGGTAATATACCCCAAAAAATATACTATTGGTAATAAAACATTACCGGGAATGAGATTCTTGACCAACCAAACATGAGAATGCGAGATTCCCACAATCCTTGAACCAAACACCCCCTTAGATTAATTAAGATAACCTTCTAACCAATATCCGCTTACAATCGTTTTTTTTTTGTCCATTTAAAACGTTAAATTTTAATCATCTTTGGTTCTTCTCTTTGATTTACTTAATGTTTTATTTTATGGTCTAACATCATTTTAACCCTTTTTTAGGGGTAATTTTGATCGATCAAAGATAAATAATTCGGATCGGATTTTAATTTTTAATTTAACTTTTAATTTTCACAATTAAGACAACCGTGAAATTAAATTGATACCGAAAGGGCAGTACAAAGGTGTTAATCATTCCTTGACTGTAATTGATTCCCGAACCCGATATATTTTTGGTAAAACGTGGATCAGATAAGATAATAAATGAAGTATCCGATCAACCTAATTTTAATTATCGGTGATAACTCTAACACATTTATTTAAGTTAAAGTCCAATTCCGGTCTTACCCGAAGGATGGTTACGACACAACCAATTTGTCTTTATCATCATTATCACAGTTGAATAACGCAAATTAATCAAGTCGGTAAAACGTGTTGTTTCCTGATTTAGATGCTTTCAACTTTATGCCTAATTTGCCATATGATTTGAGATCGGAATGCCTTTCTCTTTCTTTTTCTTTTCACCAGTCTCTTCTGCTGATTAATTGCTTTGCTTGGCCTTGTTTCTGATATCTCGCAAACACAGTCTAATCTTTATTTGCTTTATGTTAATGTCATGTCTATAATCAACTATGTCTAGGTGATCATCAAAAACCCGTAGTTTTTTTTATGTACGTTTAAAAGATTATATTTTCGGATCGGATACATACAGACACGGGAAAACCTTCACGTGTTGTTCATATGTTCTTCTTGCATGCTATAAACATGTGTTTATACGTATTTGATTTAATATTTGGAGGTGGAGTAGGTTGACATGGAAGAATCTAAATCTAATGAGTCTTTCAAAAAGATTTGTTGGGCAAATATCCTCAAAGAAAAGAAACTAAGATCTGCTACTGTAATTATTTTAATGGACTTGCTGGCTGCTGCTGTTAAATCGATATGATTTGCCAGAAAAAGGTAGTGTGAAAGAAGATATGGGGAATTGCATGATGACTCGGCATTGCCTTCAATCACACCATTGATGCAGGATCATATAGGGACCGCTTTTTATCCATCAAGTTCCCCGGAGCAACACCGTCTCATCGGCCACTACTGCCTTCATTTTGCAATATCAAACCGTGCCATTTCGTTTAGTTTTTCTTTTTTCCTTGAGCAATTTCAGTATCACACGGAACAACTATCAATAATTAATTGGTCTAATAAGATAGAACATTAGATCTCTTTTTCTATAGAGTAAACAAGATGAAATATTCCTCATAATTTCTTTTAACTTCTTTGTTTATGATACTTTTAAGTTTTAAGAGAAAACTGAAGTCTTTAAAAGTCTTCCAGATTTTAAAATTTATTGAAGTTTAAATGTAATATTTTGATATAACAAATAAATATAAAGAAAATAGATTTAATTAAATATTTTAAAATTAATTTAAAAGTCCAAAAATTTGGATTTTTTTAAAAATGTTTCCTAACATTTTCAATCTTTTTTTCAAATAATATATAATCGTTTTTGCTTTTAGAATTATTTATTTCTACATTTTTAGAAAGAAAATATCATTCCATTTTTCAAAGAAAACTCTTTATCAAGTTTTGAAACCTTCATACAAATTTCGAAACTCTGGATCTAACGGTCAAAATTATTTAAAATGGGATTGATTTCTTACCCCAAAAAAATCGATCTCGTACCATTTTTACCGCAAAGGGAAAAAATTATCAGCCAAGAAATTGATTTATAGTTTAGGACCATTTTTTAATAAGAAAAAAGTTTAATATTTTTTATTTACCTCATAATGAATTTAATCAGAAATAAATAATTGATCCAAAATTTTTCCCTTATAACAACTGAGGGGCGAGTACAAGAAGGCATCGGAATTGAAAAGAGGCCATTAACTGCAATAGTGATTGAACCTTTCAATTCATTATGGTTCATTGAACCTCAATGTAGTCATTTGTGGTAAGGAACTCAAAAAGATTTCGGCCACTAAACCCTTTAATCAGAAAGTGGGGAATCTTGACCATAATTTCACCTGTCCATTTTCAATTAGGAGCAACAACAACATGGTGATCAAATAAATGATTACATCTGCTACAGGCTACAGCAAACTCATAAATTCCACTGTGTTTGGAACAATGGCAGTTATGGAATCATGGCGGCGGCACTATCTGGTCAAAGAGAAGGGTGGTGGTAAAAACCCGCTATTCTAACCAAGCCATTCCACAAAGTGAAACAAGGTATGATGATAGATAACGAAACAGGCTACGAGGGTTGACTCGAGTAATTGTTGTGAACATGAAAATGATGTGTGTGAATGCCTCAAACTCATGGTGCTCGAGGGGTCCGACCACAAGCCACATAAGTATGTACGTAGGAAAATTGAATCCTCGGCTGATCGAGTTGACGAGAAAAGCGTGTACACACTGTTAAGGGAGGATGGCGCTTTCTAAAATGATTTCCTTGACTTAAAAGGTACCGACGGGGAAGATGTTGAAATGGAATAAAACCTACCAGCTGCCAAGGACAGTGACTGGCTTTTTATTGGCTGAAAGTAGGAAGGTGAAGCCTATATATGAAGAAGACATTGGTGGGAATGGGATAGATCTGTCTACGGTTTACATTGTGGAATAAAGGGCTGCTCCTAACAATTGACAACTTGTTTTTGAGAATCAAACCTTTTTACAGAAACTTTGTTGGTGCCAATTTGATGATCAATGGGCCTTATCCTTTCCGATTTAGCATCTGCATGTGCAAGTATTTTTCTGAGGGAGAGTACGTGAGGACGGGTCTACCCGACTTCATCAGATTAGTTGTGTAATGAGTGTTACTGTGAGGAAGTGACATGGTAACAGAAGAAAATCCTATGGGAATTTGTGGTTTTCTTTTCTTTCTATAGCCTTTTATCTCATACACCATGCTGCAATCATTCTTCCACTTTCAGAGAACCTAAAGAAACAGAATTCGCCAAGAAAGCAAATTGTCACAGTTATCTTAATCACCTAGGAATTATGTCTTATGAGATTTATGCAGGCAATATATCACAAACACCTAAGTGAAAAATATATGTCAGATCTTTCAATATGATCAGCTATTTATGTGGCTGAAGCCTTAACGAATTGTAGGATAAGTAACCTATAACTCTAATTTCCAGAAACGTATTCAGAATGACTGGATGGAGAAACACAAAGCCTCAACCATCAATAGATCAAGAGCCAAGTAATCAACCATTTTCAAACTTTTTAGGGCCAATAAAAAAACCTTATCCACACATGTATCACATGCTCATTCCACACTACTTTCCGAGCCCATAATACCACCATTATGGTATAAATCAATGACGATTCTGATAGACTTGACAATGGTGCAGAATCAGAATGTCTGAAGTTCTCAATTATACTACGCAAACCAGGAAGTGGTAGCTTTTGTGTCAATTAACATAAGACATAAAGAGCAGGTGATGGCTTCTGTGTCAATTAGCCTATGATATGAAGAGCAAGTGATTTGCAATAAATATGCAGCTCCAGCTCATGTCTCCATAATATAATAACTAAAAATAAATCATAAAAATAGTTGTGTAAAGGATAAGTACATTTCTGTGTCGCTTATGTCTTGAAGAATCTGTCTTGTTTAAATTTGAGACCTTAAAGTTTCATTCGGAACAGAGGCTTACATATAACTCCACGGTCAATTAAAGAAAAAGTAAAAGTTAAGACTTTGGTTGGAAATTTAAGAAGACGTCTCATGAAACACATTATATAAAACTTTAGACAATTGCACTGTATCAGTTAAGTGCATCAGGCAATTAGACGAGCTTTTAATTCACAGCCTAAAGATGAAAGCAATTCGCAGATAATTCAAAGGCCTGATTAGAACAAATTGCGTAGTTTCTATATATCATAGAGTTAGCTCATCATTTTTTATCCCTCGACTTCATCCACTGTCTGACAACATTGACAAAGAATTGATACATAAACAAGCCCCCAACAAAATATCAATTGAGTTGGGACTAATATAAAGTGGGAATGTTTAAAACTCAAGTTTAAACCAAGCATCCTACCAAAGTTTTAGAAGCTTGAACTAAAGACCAAACTGGCAAAACAGTTGCCAAATCCATCAGATTAAGCATACAACAGAAAAACTAGAGATGCCAACTTATTATACTCATTAAATTTCATATACAAGTTCTAGTGTTCTACATATACATTCAATATAGGAAAACCTTCCAAAACATTTCATCCAGGGAAAAAGAAAGTGAGACAATTTGGAGATGAACATTACCAATAAAGCATAGGCTTTTTTCCCCTTCCCTCCTTGAGAATCTTCAGTGCAAATCAGTTTTTCCTATTAATCCCATAACTCCCATCTCTTTGCAAGCTCATATCATAAACATCAGGCTTGAAATCACTTCTTTTACCATAAATCCCAGACTTCAAGGTCCTTCTTTTATCAGTAACTTCAGTCTTGGAATTACTTATCTTCGCATCAGAATTAGCCTCCTCGGAATCACCGAACCTTCTCCTAAATCCTTTCCTCCTCCATCTAACACCGTTCTTTTTCCCATTGCTCTCTGCAACACTGCCATCTCCATTCTCAGTCTCATCTCCCTTGTTTTCACTTAAAAGCTTAGTGTTTTCACCACTGCCTCTACTCCCCAAATAAGGCTTAACACTATGAACAACCCCTTTAGGGAAGAACCTGGCAGAAGGCAACTCATCGACAGCATCGAACAGCTGAGGCCCATCTCTGTCACTCCACATATCGAAACCGCCGGGCTTCTGGAACCTGTCGGCCAAGACTTTAACTTGCTCATCGGCGGAAACGGAGAACAAGTTGGGTGCTTTTTCAACGACTTCCCAAGGGCGTTCGAGTTCGGATACGGCAGCTTTAAGCTCGGCCCTCTTGCGCATCTCGTAGATGTGGCGTTCACGGGCGAGTCGGGCCTTGAGGAGTTGCTTGGATTTCTTGGCTTGCATGCGTTTCCATTGCCATTTGGAGACTCCACCTGGGTAAGTCCTAGGGCCACCCCCCATGCGGATTGTGGTATTGGGTGGTGGGGTTGGGTTGTGGAGGGAGAGGGTGGAGAGCTTAGTGTGAAGGAAAAGGGGAGTTGGGGAAAGAAGGGATTTTGAGAAGGAAAGGGTTTGGGATGGAAAAGGCATTGAGAGTTGCATTCTCTGGGTTGAGGTCTTTGAATTTTGGATTAAACAAAAGTAGCAAACCGACTGGTTTTTTATGGCTTTGGCCTTTGAAGAGAGAATCAGGGAAGAAATCGGCAAGGCTCTCGTAGGGATGCCGTTTGTGGTTTTGGTGTTAATAGGATTATCATAATAAATAAAGTAAAATTAGTTTTATTGAACACACGAAACATAAGCACTAGTGGTCTAGTGGTAGAATAGTACCCTGCCACGGTACAGACCCGGGTTCGATTCCCGGCTGGTGCATTTTATTTTTCTTGCCAGTCTACTCTGCACCTGTTGCATGCCGTGTTGTTTGGCCAATTAGCTGGCAACCTAATGCTCAAAACAATTCAAGCTCAAGTCTGCTCTGAATCTTTTGATGGTTCCAACCAAAGTTGTTTCCTTTTCTAACACCTAATGTCTCAAATTTTTGGGGGATCCCTCCTCAAGTTTAGGTTACAAGATCCAAGGGTCAAATGAATGGTATTTTATTTGTTAAACGATTCCCCTCCTATATCATTGTATTCAACCTGCCCTAGCCAAAACTTCCTGTGGTAACGTTAACCCTAGTAAAACACTCAAACTACAGCCTTAAACGTATTCCTAACATTAAGCATATGACAACACACTGCTTGTTATTAACAACCTAAAACACTCCAAAGCACAATAACATACAAGGTATAACAAAAACAACCCAATGAGAAAGAAAAATGGAAACTTCTGTAATCAAATCGAAGACATCTTCAGGACATTACCTGAATTGTGTTAAAACATGTTGTCCCCTGCCTTTGAACAACATCTTCTGACAAAGAAGCAATTTTCTTCCAAGACACAAGATATGCTGCCGTTGCGTTTTTTATTTTTCAGCTTTTCCTGTGTGAGTTTTAGATCAATGGATATTAATTTCACTTAATCATACACCCTAATTGTCGGTATGATTAATGTAATCATACAGATTAAACAAACTCTACAAATACAATTATCAAACATCTTGTTCCCTTGATCCATTTCTTAGTTGTATTTATAATATTCTAATGCATGCACACGTGTATCCCCCGGCACTCCGCTGACAACTTCATTAAAAGATTAAGAAATTTGAATAAACTATGCATGGAATCCAGCTTTGCTTATGGGGATGCTTTCATAGCAGTTTCTTCTCTCTGTGTGTGTATATATATATATATATACATATACATCTTTAGCAATCCATCATCGAATTTGATTAAAAAAATGGCTCCTTCTCTTCTTTTCTTGGTTCTGATTAATGCTTCTGTGGCTATGGCTAATGCTCAAACATCTGGCTCAGCTGATCTCCAACATCCTGCAGCAATAAGGAAACTTGGGAAGCACCAGATAGTGAAGACCATTGACAATGCACCATCTTCAAGTCCATCCCGAGCGCCCCACTCGGCGGATCACACGGCAGCCACTACCGGACCAAACGATGGTGAAAACGTGAGCGTTGGAGGAGAAGGAGAAGTTATTCACCTGCAAAAGGCTCATCGTTCGGTGGATAAATCTGTGGCAGGGGGTGGCGTGATCCTTGGAGGCCTTGCCACGACTTTCTTGGTGGCGGTTTTTTGCTATATAAAAGCCACTGGAAGACACGAATCAGAGACTCATCAAAGCGATAATGATGAAACCAGTAGTTGAATTGTGTGTATATGAAAATTATGTGGTCTTGTTGTGAATCCTCAACTTCTGTTTAAAAAACTGTAAAGAAAATTTCAAATGGAAAACGATTCTCAAGTGCATAACATAAAGTGTTTTTCGTTCTTGAATATGCAGTTTTCTAATACCAAACCAAGTTCGTCGAATCCTAGCAGTGTAAATGAATCTTGTTTGAACTAGTAAAGTTGTGTGCATGTTCGTTTGATTATTTTTCAAAGTGTTAGTGTTCGGTTTGTTTAGCATTCGTGAATATGTTCGTTTATATATTCGCCAACATGGTCATTTAATATTCGTGATTATGTTCGTTTATATGTTCAGAAATGATGAAATTATGGCTCTAGTCCTTAAGCTCCTTACATTTCACAGTTTGAACTCCAAAGCTCACATTATTCAATTTAGTTCCTACTTTCAACGATATATAAAATGAAAAAGAATAAAAGGAAAAAAAGAAAAAGAAAACCAATTAAATGAGCTTATAAATGAATCGATAAATGAGCCATGAACAAGCTTATTCGTAAAACTAAAAAATAAACACATCTCTATTTATGTTCTATTTAATGAACACAAAAAATTTATTTATATTCATTTATTTAATTTAATAAGTAAAGTTTATGTTAACGGAAAGTTTTTCGAATGCTACAGAGAACATACGGAGAACCAAATTTGCAGTGAAATTCTAAGCATGGAAGAGTTTCAAATTGAAAAGGCACAAAAGGCCCAAAGTTTTGTGATGGACTTCACAAAACATAAACAGAGCCCATCGGAATTGAAGTTGGAACATTTTCATCTTGATTCTTCTAGCGGCATGTAAAGCAATAAACTGCTTCAAAGCTCTTTGCCTACCCATCACGAAATCTCGAAACCCTTCGTTTATTCTTGCTTTCATTAAGTTCCTAATCAGTAGTAAAGGCTAATCCTTCAGAAAATCTCGAACATGTCGAACGAGAGAACGGTGATCGCCGTCATTAGAGCGGCGAGACCTTCTTTTAGGAACGACCACGACAAGGTCGCGTTCGCCGTTCACGCGACGTTTCTTTCCGCCGGTTTCGTCCTCACCGCCACTGGGCCTGCTGCTTTGGGCGACAACGTTTTCTCTTCTACCTCTACTGGTATTCGCTTTTCTTCTCTTTCTAATTTGATTGCTACTATTACTTTTTCAATTCCTTAAAATGCATTTTTGGGTTTTAGACGAGGTAGGAACCGATAATTGGAACGAATTCGAAGACCATTACGCGTTTGTCTATACCAATCCCGAGAAAGGGTCGAAGAAAGTTTTGGTGAAATGTCTGGTTATGAATAGAAAATTGCTTGTCGAGACTTTGGCTGAGAACAGTTCTCAACCCCTTCATCTTGAAATCGAGTAATTATCTTCTCTTCTGCTCTCTTTTTTGTTTAATTTTTGTGGTTTAAATCAATGTATTTTGGAGTTTCATTGACTGTTGCAGTATTGATGACTATGTTGGGGAGAACACAAGTGGAAATTACTCTGCCTTGTACAAGAATTTAGAGAAATTAGTGAATGGTTTGGAAAAAGAAGTAATTTCCATGTTAAACTGCTCAGCAGTTGACCCTCCAAGGTAATTAAGCAAATTTAGTCTTTGCCGTTATTGATGTCGAGCAATTCTTAGCTGTAGTTTTAGCGTCTGTAGTTCTATACAAATGGATGTTTTTCTAGGCTTTAGGGATAATTGGAAGTTTTTAGGGTGAAGGATGATCAATGGGAATAATTTTCTTTTATTTACCTTCTCTTTTATTTATGCGTGTGGTTTGTAGTTCAGCAAAAGGTGAAGGATCGAGGCCCAATCATCCTGGTGTTACAATTAATGAACCAAGGGGCCCTCAAATCCATCCTTCAGGGTATCTCTTGTTTTCTCCTTTGCAATTTTGGATTTAATCCAGTTCGTCAATGATTGTTTATACCCTTTGCATGCTTCATTGATATCTTTACAATCATGTAACTATGGATAAATTGTGATTCATGCCACAAATCATGACTCCTTTGCGTTATTTATTTATAGAAAGCTTCATTAGTGAGGTTAAACTTCCACGACTATGGTCTGATGATGCATGTTTTCTGTCTATCAACTAGTGGTATAGGTTTTTTGATTATGTTCAGATACGATTAAGATTTCCTGATTTAGGCAAGGTTTACTAGTAACTTTTTTACCCAATTTTGGCGGATTAGAGAACAACTTATTTGCATATTAGGCCAGAACAGAAAATCTCTGATTGCTCTGATATAATATTATATGAAACCTAACTATGTGTTATAGACTTCTGAAGTTCTGAGCATGTTAAAATTGTATCTAAGGAAAATAAAGAATAAATGCGAAAAAAATTAGTTATAGACTGATAGTATTGTGTTTCTTTAACTTTAATGAAACCTTTCCATTAACTTCCTAACAGTGGCTCGTATGATCATCAAAATTATAAAACTTCCTTTACAGGGTTGTTGTCCCACCTGTTAATCCTATTGGTGGTAGTGATCTGGTACCCGGGCCAGGTGCCGGAATGTATCCTAGCAGGTACTACTGTTCTGAATCAGATTTTTTGTGATAACCACAATTTAACTGGTTGATTTTAGTTTCCGACTTGAGTGTGATTTTATTTCTTAAATGGATTTCAGGGGTGGTTTTGGTGGTGACGGTGGCATGCTTCTAGGTTTGTAACACTTGTTTTATTCATTTGGCAATTTTGGATGTCATAATCCTTTAGTGACTTAATTATATACTATAATTTGGAAGCAGGGCCCAACGATCCTCGCTGGTTTGGTGGAGTTGGTGGAGAGCATGGTTTCCCCGGAGCACAACCGTGAGTTTTCTTCCATGTTTAAATTTGTGTGTGCATTGCTTTGTACGAGACATTTTAATTTTTGGATGGAAACAGGGGTATTCCTCCTGGTGCGCGATTCGATCCATATGGTCCACCTGGTGTTCCTGGATTCGAGCCATCTCGATTCACAAGGTAGAGGGAATTAGGGATCCATTGGGTGGATATCAACAGTTTTATATGATTTAAACTTATACAACACTTACCGAATTCTTGCAGAAATCCGCCGCGGAAACCCGGGAGTGGTATTCATCCTGACCTGGAGCATTTTGGAGGTGGTTCAGATTTTATTTAGATGGATGAGGAAGAGGGTATATATATATATATATATATATAGTAAAGTTGTTGAAATCTTTATTCTCTGAAAGAATGGGTTGTTGAAATCTTTATGTTTGTTTTAAGTTGCGTTCAATGAGGAATTTCCTGATTTGGACTTTTAGGCCTAATAAAGGTCGAAATTGTTCATTAATTTTATTTAGCTCTATTTATAGATTAAGTTAGACTATTTTTTTCATTCATTTCATTATATCCCTATAGTTCTTAATCGCATCATCCTCTTACTGTTTGATCAACAATCGCCCCCAAATTGAAAAATTACCACCACTTCCATTAAAAAATTGTCTTTTTTTTTTTGGTTCGATTAATTTCCACTAAGAAGGAAGTTCCATGAAACCAGAAATGATGATGAACAATTTGCGAACCTCGTCGACCATCTTTAAAGTTGCATTTCTCACTCTCTTTATGGCCATGGAAGAGAATCAATAGGTGAGCATGACACTGATAAATAGGTTAATACCAAAATAAATGTCTTAACTATACATAAAATTTCAAATAAGTTTTTTTGTTACTATTTTAGGTGTTTAATGTTTTGTTAGTTATCATTTTAGGTGTCTAATGTTTTCTTAGTTACCATTTTAGGTGTTCGAACGCTCACCATTTTAGGTTTTTTGTTACCCATTTTAGGTGTCTAATGTCTAATGTTTTCTTTTCGCCATCACCGGTTGCCACCAACACCGTCATCGACCAAACACCCAATGACGCGTAACTAGTCAACCAACCACCACCAAAACCTCCATACTTTTGTAACTAATCGAACACTCAAAAACGGTATGAATGAAAGATTTTGTTTTAGGGTTTGTAGTTTTTTTTAATTGAGGATTTTGATAAATTGAATACTTATTGTGGAAATTGTTAGAGGTAGCATCAAGGGATTTTTGTTCTAAGTTTAAAGTTTTGGCATTGACAGTCGATCTTTGACCATAACAGTTGGTTGCAGGGGAGGGAGGAGAAGGGAGAAGACGAGGAGGGAGAAGGGGAGGGGAGAACACGTGGTTTTTTTTTTTTTTTGCTTAATATTAAAATAAGTGTCTAAGCTACATCGTTTTTCTCGAATATGTGTCTAAACTAGTTTTTAAAAAATAAAATTTCCAAAATTACTAGAACATGAAACGTGTCACTTAACCGCATTTAGCGCCTGGGCACTTAAAATGGTAACAGAGAAAAAATTAGACACCGGGATGAGTTAAAAAATAGTTTAGACATATATTTAAAATTTTATGTATAGTTTGAATACCTATTTTAATATTAAACCTAATAAATATGATATGTTTAAAAAATAATATATGTGCAATAGTTTGAATTCAAAAATTTTAGACATTATCTTTTATCACTAAAATTATTTAATGAGTTCGGACAATTAAATCAATAAAAAAATTTAGGGTCAAGACATCAACGATAAAGATGAGTTGAACGACACACAAAGGCACCAAATAGAGCCATAAATGACACCAATGCTACTCATCCGATGGCAAATCCCTTTCCAATAGCAAGAGTGGTGCTTTCAATAGCATCGTTGTTAATGAAGTAATTTCTTCTTCTTTTTGTGAGTAATGAACAAAGCCTAATTGTTTAACCTACACTAACATCCTCTTGCAAGAGGGATTTAACCCCGCAATTGAGAGCGTGCGAGCAGCCCAACCTTAAAGATGACAACAGACTTTTTCAAGGATGAAATCAAAGTCTGAGCACTTAGTTCACCTATGAAGAACTGAAACACCTAGGTATTTGCCCAAGGATTCAACTTGTTGAAATCCCAGGAAAGAGCTAATCATTCATTTAATAGAATAATCAGTATTAGGAGAGAACCAGATTTGAGTCTTTCTTTTATTAGCTCGGTGTCCCGAGAACTGGCCAAAAGTGTCAAGAATGTTCTGAATAGCCTCAACTTGTTTCAAATCAGCCTTCACATGAAGAATGAGATCATCTGCAAAAAAAATAGATGGGACAACAGAGTGCCTCTATAAATAAAACGAAAAGGCTTACATGCACCATGAGAGACGGCATGGGCGATAAGATGGCCCAAGTATTCCATGAAAAGAACAAAGAGATAAGGTGAGAGAGGATCGCCTTGTCGAACGCTTCTATTTGAAAAGAACGGATGCGAAAGTTTGCCATTCTATTGAATTTGAAAGCTAGTTATGATGCGTTTTGGTACGAGTCTTGCATTTAAATGGTCAGTTATGAAATCCCATTTAATCCGACATAAAACTTTCTCAAGGTCCACTTTGATAGCCATTCAATCTTCTTTACTTTTGGACGATCTCATGGAATACACAACTTCCTAGTTTATGATAGTATTTTCAGTGATGTTTCGCCCTGCAATGGAACTAGTTTGATTTTTATCAATCAGAATCAGAAAGATTGGCTTCAGTCTTCGAACAACCACCATGGTGATCAATTTGCAAAGGACAACACATAGGCTAATAGGTTTGAAGTCCATAAGAGATTCAGGGTTTTTGCTCTTGGGATAAGAACAAGGATTGTTCTATTAAGATCAGGCTAAAAAATAGCACCCCCAAAAAATATTCTGGATCATTGAAGTAATCAAAGATCCAATGATACCCCATTGTTTCTAAAAGAACTCCGCATGAAGACCATCCCAACCCAGGGAGTTCAAAGGAGCTATATCCGTGAGTGCATTGTGAATTTTCTCGGTTGAGGGAATACGATCAAGAGTGGAAGTAATCTCAAGAGGTAGGTTTGAAAAAAACCCTGTAATTGGAAAAGTGCCTTGGCAACTATTTGAATCAGAAAAAAGCTGTTGGAAAAAGTACCAGGGCGATCCACTCGGAGCGAGATTTTTGTCACCAAAGAAGTTCCTCTTGATCTAGGAGATGTTCAAGCTCAATAAGTAAATCGGATTCTAAGTTACACAAGAAACGCAAAGAATAAGAGCTGAGGGCTTTTTGAATCCCCCAAGTCTTGCTATAATAATGCGTTCTTTAGTGCCTATATAGCCGAAGATAGATTTGTTCCAGGAATCCGCTGCTTTAGTGAAATGAAGAATGGTCTTGGTCATAGATGAAGAGGTCGTCCAATTGTCTTCAACTATTCTGGTAAAGTCTTCATGTCGATGCCAACCAGAGTAGTATCGAAAATAGCCAGAGTTCGAGTAGCTCGATTGATTCCCAACCTAAAGAAGAATTAGGACAATGATCTGAGCCAACACAGATGAGATGATCTGAGCGGACAATGATCTGAACGGAAATGAGTCATCCCAGTAGTTATTGCAAATAAACCTGTCAAGTCGAGCAAAAATTGTTCTTTTAGACCAAGTATAATCAGGACCATTATAACCCAAGTCATGAAGGCCATGGTCGAAAAGAAGGTTCTAAAAGTCTTTACTAGACCTTGTAGAGGAGGAACAACTTTTTCTGTCATCAGCACTGAGACTAGAATTAAAATCGCCAAAAGGATCCAGGGTGAACAGATAGAGACGACTAGACGGCGCAAATGAGACCATAAAATTTTTCTGCCTGCAGCTGAAGGGCTAGCATAAACTGTTGTGGCTTGGACAGAAAATATATTTGTAATACTAGTAATGCGAAAATGAATGAACTGGAAGTGATTGACAGAAACATCAATTGTGATAGAGTCATATTATGCAAGCCAGATGCCACCAGAAAAACAAACTGCTTCAACTCGATGAGAGTTGGGGAAATTCAACGCAGAGATAACCGAGCCAACTCGATGACCACTGATTCTTGGTTTGACAAAAACAACCAGGACCGGCTTATAGTCACACAAAAACAGTCTAGCTACAGACAAGAAACGCGAGTAGCTGCAGCCCTGAACATTCTAACATAAAATTTTAAGGTCCATAAAATAGAGATAAGGAGAAGATCAAAGTCATTCAATCATAGCCACTGCTTGATCTCCAATCGATTCGTGGTTAATATCATCGACAATGTGTTCAGTGTTCATGTCTAGGGAAATACCAGAATGAGTTTGAGGCAGAACTGTATCACGTGACTATATGCTTGGATCAGGAGGGTCCCCCATGGGAGCTTGTGTGCATTGTGCTTTTGTCAGCTCACTGTGCGAGAGGTTTTGCAAAATGTTCGGACTCTCGTTTTCACTCTTAATTATGGCCGAATGTTTGTTTTTGTCCAAGGTTAAGTTTGATCGATGTTGGGCAGTGCGAGAGCTTGATGGTCTTGAAGAAAGAGCCTGAAGAGTAGGAAAATCCGAGAATTGAACAGAGAGTGACTTCCGAATATTTACAGCCTTGGGCGCTTTGGCAACTGTAGGTTTTTTCCCTTTGGATTTAGTTTTAGAGGCTGCACGAGTTGAGGCGGTGGGAGTTTGAGAATGCGTTGAAGCTGGTTGTTCAGTATCATCATCAACTTCCAAATCGAAGATCGAATTGAACCGAGACCCTTGAATTATGCTTTTGATATTAGCTAATTCCCCTGGTTTCTTGTTAACACGATGAGAGCGGTGCTCAGCAACTATCCACGGCACAAACGATTCAGAAGGAGCATTTTGATTTTTTGGATAGGGAATAGGATCCGCAGTAGAACCATTATCTAGGCAAGAATCCAAGGAGTAGTTCATACTCTATTAATTGAATATTACCATTAACCATCGGCTTTGAGATCAGGGGTTTGGACAGGTCAATAGTGATTGTCATGCGGGCGAAGTGGCCTCGACGACCCCACTCTGTTTGGTAATCAAGCTTAATCACAAGTCCAATAGTTTAGCCTATCTCCTCTATTATGCTTCTTTTGTAAAGAGTGACGGGCAATCCAGGGAGCCTAATCCAAGCCATAACTTGAGTGGGAAAAGGTGTAGCAGTAGAAAAGTCTTATGTCCATTGCGGAACTATAAGATAATGGTCGACGATCATCCAAGGCCATCGGCTATGGCATGAAGAAAGTCCGAGTTGGTACAAAAGGTGACCAGAAAGTAGTCGTTCTCTATTACTATTAGCTTTATGGCTTGCTTCGGCTTTTATAATTCGTTGATTTTGGTTTTCAGGGTGGCATATCCGATTCGACGACCCAATAATTCAACTATGAGCTTCTATTGACATTTTTTTCTGCAAGGGTTTGGATTCTATCGGAGAATTCAATGGATGGGATTTCATCGATTTGGGATCGAACAACACCCCCTTTCTGTATCTCAATATCATCGTTGTCAAATATTTCGTCAGAATCAAGGTTCTCAGGCAAAGAGTCTTTCATGAGAGAATCCTTATACATGGGAGATGAGTGTGCATTTGATGACTGGTCAGCATGATGAGTCGGATCGGTGGCAATCGTGGGTCATTTACCTCCTCTGTCTGGGGGTCATCGTCGATCCTTCGATATTTCCTGGAATTTCGGGGTGAGGCGACGCTGTTTTCGAAGGTTTCGATCATCCTAAGTTTCAAACTTTAAAATTGTTTCACACTATTTTATTTTTTATTTTTATTAATTTATATTCATATTAAACTCTATATAACATTACTAGATTTTATATATTTTTTAAAACATAAAATCTGACGAATTCAACAAACAATAGAATTTTTAACAAGTACAAACTAAATAAAATTTTTAAATTAAATCAAATATTATTTGAACACGTTAACGAGTGTTGATACAAATAATTGATATTCAAAAATTTAAGTATGTAAAGACAATTTTAAATCCTAACATCGTCACTTTTGATGAACAATATTAGATATGTTCTAACTTTGGACTGAAAAAACCAAGCTGACCTAAACTTTTTTGTATATAAGAAAGAAAAAAACAAATTATTTGAACACATGACCGACTCGCTCGTAAACCACCCAAGCCTCCCCTCAAAACCAAAACATCCCATGTATCTCTTGTGATGTCGATTCTTGCAAGTAGTTCAGGTCTAGGACCCCACGGTGCCCTGCAGTTTGTGAGAAATGTCCACCAAACTTGTCTCGTAGAAACGTAAACAATTTGGAAACATGTTATTGGCCACAAAATGTCTCTCTCTCTCTCTAGAACCCATGTATGTCCCTTTCCATCATTAAATCCCCCACTTGCAATTTGAGTTCAAACACAAAAATCACAGCCTAGCTAACTAATCCCCATTATTGATTGGGTTGTCTTCTCTTCTTGTATTTCACCCACTTCTTTTAGCTCATCCTCTTTGGAGAGAGAAAAAATGGAGAAATACAAGGGTGCCCTAGTCCTTTTTATGGTCGTAATCTGGGTTTCTTCATCCCAGAATCCCCTGGTTTCAGCAGCTAGGCCGCTTTCAATCTTGCCTCATCAACAAAGTAAGTTCCTTGTGTTTTTTTTTTGGTTGATTGTTTGAGTTTGAGTTGAGTTACGGTTTTGGTTATGTGATGTATAGGATACTCCAAGATTTTAGCCACTCTTGGAGTCGTCTGCGAGTGTTGCGATGGAAGTGGAGGTGAATGCTCGTCTACATGGACCGGAGCTTGCTCTAAGCTCAAGTGCCTGCCCTGGAAATTACTTTAGGATTTTTACTTTTCATTTGCCTCTATTCTGTGTGTAATATCATAAGTAACTGAAACCATGGTATGGGGTCATATTTGCTTACTTGATAATTCATTTTTAACCTGGAATTTCTTACACACCAAAATACACTAAAAAACAATCTGTTGTTTCATCTCTGCAACGTTTGAGAGTGATGAACATGAAAACTTAGTTAATTAAAGGGAAATGCGCGTAATCTAGCCACCGAGGGCTGCTGTAATTTGTAAATAGCGTTGGTCTAAAACTCGATTTGATTCATAAGAAAAATAAATTTTTCGATTTTATAAGAGATTAAAATTTTGTCTCCGAATGATATGATTCGTAATTTTTTAGTAATTAATATATTGATTTAAAGTTAAAAGCGAATCTATTAATTCTATATGTATATTAAAATATAAAGAAATATATATATACAAATCTTATATGATTATAAAAATTCATTTAATAATTAAATTTAAATAAAAACTTAAATGACTTGATTTTACTTAATTTAAAAATTTTACTTACATTTAAACTATAAAATAAAATTTATAAACTTAAAAAATTTAAAAAAATTAACTCGACTATATTAAATACTTATTGTACTCGATAATCAGAGCAGGGATAATAAAGCATTGACTTGGGTATTAGAGTCCTGTGGGACAAAGCAGACTCCTACCGTACACTGAAGTATTTGTTTATTCATTTCTCAATTGGTGTGGTTATTATCCAAGTCCCTTTCCAATATGCTTATTATACACGGTGTAGAAAAATATGAACTACTTAGGCAAAGGCCATTCACTGGGTCGTCAATATTGTCCTTTTATGGAAATAATTACACCAACATAGATTTAATTTTTATTTAAATATTTGATGAAAACTATTAGCCATTTTATTCAAATTATTATAAAGATCAGTTCACACGCATGAGACGGATGTATATGGCCCCATAGAGAACTAAATGCATACTTATTATTTTATATTAGGTATTAAATATATATTAAAAGGAAAAAATAAAAAAAAATTACATATCCATTAAATTAAAAAAAGAGTATTAAAATTTCATTTATAAATTTTTAGATTTATCACTGTATGCGACGTCCACATATTGCAGGCTCGGTAATTTTTTTAACCCCCTATACCTATTGGTTGAAGGAGGCCATTGGACCCTAGACTCAAGATAGGTTGGACACTATGTGAGGGGACTGAATTTAAAGAACAAAAAAATAGAATTTTGAATATAAAATCCAACTTCCCCAACAAAATAAAATTATCATCATAATTTTATAAAATTGATTTAATTTAGAAAATATTCAAATTCGAGTCGAGTTATAAAATACAATTCAAATAACTCAAATTTGTATTAATTAGTAGATTAGTTTTTAAGTTCGTATTGAATCTCTTAACATTGTATAATATATGTATATTACATATGAAGAAATATATGTATATTGTTAAATGTTACATAAAATTGTTTAAATTGGAATCAAATAGTACAATAATATTATAAATATTTACAATTATATTTAAATAGAAACTCGAACAACTTAACTCAATCTGAATTTCATAAACTCGATTCAACTCGAAATCAAATAAAATTTGAATTATAAAATATGACTCGTCAACCAATTTCACTTAGTAATTTTTTTTCGTTTATAACCTTTTATTCTTTTAATCCATGATGATTTTTTTGGGTCTTTTTGTTTTCCTGTAATTGGTTTTTTGAAAAATATTTTCCTCATTTTCCAATGTTTGGTTGGTTGAAACCATATGATCAATAAGGGTGTTCAGATTTAATCCGATAAAAAAAATAATCAAAAACCGATCTAAAAAACCGATAACCGAAAAAAACCGAAACCGATTTAGTGTGTTTGTTTTTTTAAAAAAACCGATCGGTTCGATTTCGGTTTGGAAATTCGAAACCGATTCAAACTGAATCGAATCTATAGTCTCTTACAATGAATGACATATTCCCGTTGTTTGCCTTAATATTAACGTGACTAAAACTTGAAACAAGAACATGCAGGGAAGAATAAGTAAAACAAAAATAAGAACGACATATTCCCGCCACAATAGCGATGGTGTAACGGCGTTCAAGGCCACTTCGTTAATAGTCGAAAAGTTCCTTTTAGTTTCACCCCTAAATATGGATGCTTGTGGCTTGGGTTGCTGTTCTAGAATGCTTTGAATTTGAACAATTGTACAACTTTTAGTAATGTATTTGAGGTTTATAACTTGAACAATGTGCTGGCAATGTTGTTTCTTTGAGTTATTTTGAAAAATTAGAATCTAAAAACTGCACAAATCCAAACCGAATCAAGCCGCACTTAATTGGCTCTGATCAGATTTTTTTATAGAAACATCCAAATTGATCCAAACCGCAAACATTTATACTTTCGGATCGGATGAATTTTTAGCCAAAAACCGATCCAAACCGACCGTGAACACCCCTAATGATCAATGTAATTCATTTTCCTGATAAACTGAATTTCTTTGCATTTTTTGTAAAATGACTTACCATATGATTTTCCGTAAGTTATTTTATGAATTTTTCACTTTAAAGCATAAATACTCAAAACATTATTATTTTATATATTTAATATTAATATATTATTTTAGTATTATTTTAATAAAATATTGATTATTAAATTATATTTTTTTATAATTGTAATAATATAATATTATATTTTATTATTATAATTTTATTATTAATATATAATATTATACTTTTATTTCAATAATAAATAATTAATAAAATCAACTATTTATTAATTTCATAAAAATAATATTATTGAATTGTTGAATATTTAATATATACTCCTTAAAATATAATATAATAATATTATTTTAATATTATGATTTTCAATATTTTAACAGTATTCTTATTTTAGTAAATAATTAATAATATATCATTCTAATTTTAATAAATAATTATATAATTTATAATTTTATTTAAATAAAATATATTAATCATAATTGTTTTATTTATAAAAGAGAAAATAACCTCAGTGACCAAAAATGCCTTATAATATACGATTTTAACCAACTTTTTTTGGATTTGCCAAAATGACCAACTAAATCGCAATGCGATCGATAATTCGCAACGCGATCTCCGGTATCGCAAATCAGTTTCTAGATTCGCAACGCGATTCTGACTATCGCATTGCGATTTCCCAAATTCGCGTTGCGATTTCCCAAATTCGCGTTGCGATTTTCCTAATTCGCAATGCGAATACGTAAATCGCAATGCGATTACGTAAATCGCAATACGAATTAGGAAAATCGCAATGCGAATACGTAAATCGCAATGCGAATCTGACTATCGCAATGCGATTTACATAGAGCTATTCGTATTAACGCGTATTTTTTTTTTCAAATTCCAAACACGAATATATTAATATATCAGAAACTGAACCGTCCACAGTATATCCCGTAATCGCAACTCATAACCTAAAACCTAAAATCACAACTCAGTCTAATCTCCATCTCTCACTCTCTACGGCGAAATCCGTCCCCATCTCCGAAGATTTTCGTCCCCATCTCCGGCGAAATCCCTCACAACCATTCACGGTCATAAATCCCTCACAATCATTCAGAAATGGAAAATCAACCTCCGAGGGTTAGTTTTTTTAATTATTTTTTTTTTGAAATTTTTGCATTATTTTAGGTTTTTCATATTGAAATTGATGATAAGTTTACTGGAAATTTCAATAATAGATTAACCATTTCACTTAGATTTCTTATGAAATTCATTTGATTGCTGCCAATACTGCTAAACTGTTTAGTCTTTAACCCTGTGAAGTTAGTATTTGTCTTTGTTTTGTCTTTTAGTTGAAGTAATGCAGAAGAAGAATAGTTTCTAAACTTAAAATCGCAACATGAAAATGAAAATCGCAACACGAAAATGACTATCGCAACGAGAGAAATGAAAATCGCAACGAGAGAATTACAACGCGAAATGGAAATCGCAACGATATAATCGCAACGCGAAACCAAAATCGCATTGCGATTTTCATTTCACGTTGCGATTTTCATTTCGCGTTGCGATAGTCATTTCCGCGTTGCGATTTTCATTTTCTCGTTGCGATTTTCATTTCAACCAAAAGATAAAACAGTGTTGCAAATTTTAGTTTCAAGAATAAACTACTATTTATGTTTATTATTTTTGGTATATCTTCACAGTGTAGTTTTTGGTATATCTAATTTGGTATGTTTATGTTTTTGTAGAAATTTTTTTCGGCTTCATTGACATTAAGGAATAAAGTTAGCCTAGCCACTACAATTGCTTCGAAGCTTTCACCTGCACAAAGGAAATTGTTTGAGGAAACCTGCTTCAAGCTTCGGTCCATGGCTGAGAGTACAGCATCCGGGTGGAGATGCTAATTTGACCCATTTGTGGCTTCAGACCATGACTAGCGATCTACCCGACAGTATACAATGTGGTGAGGAAGAGATATGGTTTCATTTTCCACCGGTGTATACTTGTTTTGGGCGGAAGGAGTTCTGCTTAATCACTGGTCTACGATTCGGACACGATGATGTAGGCCGGTACACTCGTCATATCACCCGCCCATCATGGTTATCCATGGTTTTTCCTGATGAGTCAATAAAGAAGCCAAACTTACACGTCGATGACCTGAAGAAATTATTTAATAAGAAAGATGGTTTTACTCGGATGAATGACGTCGATGTTTTTCGAGTATGCCTTCTAGTACTTTTGTATGCCGGCTTTTTAGACAGAGAGGCCAGACAACCTATTCCTCATGAGCTAATATTATTGGTAGAGGACCTAAATGCATGGAATCTGTTTTCGTGGGGTTCGTATATATGGAAAGCTACCTGGACTAAGTTGTCGTCTGCCTTTGATGACCGCAAAAGTTTGTGTGGCGATGGGTCGAAATACACTTTGTCAGGCTTTGTTTGGGCCTTTAAGGTAAGAATTTCTATATAATGTTTTCAAAATTATAATTAATTATTTAACAATTACTAATGTTTGTTATTATATTATTTGTAGATTTGGATATTCGAGGCTTTCCCCAGCATGCGGACATATGCATTAAAAACTTCAAATGATATTCCTAGGGCTATT